TGCTACTGAAACTTCAGCAGTCATTTTTCTTGAAGGGTAGAAAAATTGGCGCTTGGTTGGGACTGGTTTGATTGTTGCTAATATAAACATCTTGTAATTATGTTTTCTTTCATGCCCAAGTAACCTATGAACCTCAAATCAGATAAAAAAGAAGACTGACTTGGCACACAAGACTTTTTTTAAAGCAAAATTGAGTACAATAATAACAGCTTTCAAATTATAAAAATGTCAGTGCAAGAAAATTTGTTCAATGCAAGCTCAGCCATGTAATTTTATTGGAAAAAAAAAAACCCTCATTTGAACATGGGACATTTAAATAATGAATTTATAAGGAGAAGAGCAAGGAAATCACAGGGAACCATTATTTACAAAAAAAAAAAAAAGCATGCTCTAATGATTATAGATTTGAGTACAGAATATTTTGCTGGAGTTTTGTTTCATGGTCTCTCTGTCATTGGGATGCCTGTCTGATGATTTGGGTAAGTCTCATGAGTGAATATCTTTGTGTTTGCTCAGCAGAGAACAACAGTTGCAATATGTAAATAGGGTGCCTCTTCTCTTTGGGCGCCTTGGGATATGTATAATAGATTAAGTTGGCTTTGTGCAGAGCAAACAGGTCTGTATTACCAAGAATATGAATAATATTGGTTTCCGTAATTGCTAACATCTGGCTTTCCATAAATCTGTTAAATTGCATGGAAGCAGAATTAGATTTCTGTGTCATAAGTAAAGCAATTACATGGAACTCCGTTGGCAATATGGTCCTATATTCAACTGTGAAATCCTTTCATTCTGGAAAAGTGAAAGCAAATCCTGGTTTTGCACCCTACTTTTTGTTGTGGAGCACTAGATATGTTTGTCTTTTTGTGCATGTGTCTTAATTCATGAGAGGACAACACTGCCAATATGTGTTTTAACTTTTTATATGCAAAATAACCAACTATTAAAAAAGCATATTATAGTTGGTCATGAGCTGCTACTGTAGAGATTATGTGAGATAAAGCCATAAATTATAGAACCTTTTGTAGCCAGTGGTAGTGAATCAATTGAAATGATACTTCCAGACAATTTCTGGGGTAATTTGTTGATGGGCATTCCTCTGTTATTGTCCTCAAGTATCTGATATGAGAATCAAATGTTCTTCCTGGCATAGGAAGGACGGCAGGAGGGCTTCTATTGCATTATGGTTACTACTTTGCTATACTTATTCTATTTTAAACCAGACCCAAGGGCTTTCACTGGTGAGAATTCAATAATAAAGTGTGTTCTCTGAAGGGCAGGGTTGTGGTTGTGCCTTACACTTACTAAGCAATCAAGAGGTCAAATTTTGTAAAAGTAGACTTATAATATTGGGTTGTCAGAAAAGTCATGACTTTTTTTTCCTATGTTTCTATGCAAAAATGTGTCATGACTTTCCTAATACCCACAGTATATTCTGTAGTACATAGAACACACACACCTGTGGCAAAATGTTTAAACAAAAAAGAATATGATACATCGTTATTAACTATAGACCCTATGTTGTAGAGTAGATTTCTTGAACTTATGCTTCCCATCTGACTAAATTTTTTTATTCATTGCTTTTGGCCACAAAGGGGAAGAGACAGACAATACATATCGAAGTGTTAGGTAGAAGGTCATATGATCTGCTGGGAGTTTGAACCTTCTATTATAAGCAGCAAAGAAATACTGAGAGTGGCAGGCCAAGGAGTGACATGGAAATATTTGCTTCTTTATTTTTTAAAATCTTATTATTTTTTATTTAAATTTATTTATTAACATCCATTCACTGTACATCATTACAGCATACAAAATGAGATTTTTCCATCCAGAATACACTGTATCAGATTTGCTTCTTAGAAGGCCACCCTCAGGTGGAAGATGAGTAGAACAATGGCTCTCACCTGGTTTCAGAGCCCAGAAATCCAGATCCTACTTTACGGAAATGAAATCAGTCTTCAGTGGCGGTATACATGGGCATTGGTATTTTTAAATATTCCCCAAATGTTTGCATTATACCCATAATCAAAAAATCAGTAGAGGGAATGATTAGTGGCTGGAGTCAGGGAGACTGGGGAGGACACTAGTGAAATATCCTAAGAAACCTGAATTTTACTTTACTTACAAGCATCCATCTGCCTGCCTGTCTGTCTCCTAGATATACAAACTAGGTTATACATGCATTGAGAAAAGTATAATAATAAATATTTTTAATTAAGTCATTTTAGAAAGACCTAGGGAGTGCGGATAATGCAAATGTATCCATTTAGTATTGTTCTGAGACGGTATTGACCTCAACATTAAGCCATCTTCTACCAAATATTGCAATGGGAATTCAGAAAAAGTGAGTGATTATTGTGAATTGATATTACATAGAGAGTTCTCAGAAATTCAACTGAAACCTGAAAGAGGATCTTATCTTTGAAAATAAATAAGATCTTATCTTTGAAAATAAACCTCAAGGTCTGGAGGGAAGTAGTTGACAGTAGATAAAATTGCAGAACAGTCAAGGATGCTGTAAGATGACTTTAGACCTTGAGTTGGCACAGTAGAGTGGAAAGAGCTCCAGTGACTCTATCAGAAGACCTAGGACACACTCCTTCTTCTGGCATGAGCCAGCTGTATGAGCAGTAACTTTTTGCACCTTAGTTTTCTCTTTTGTAAAATAATAAATGTTTCAACCTTGTTATCATATAGCATAACTCATGAAAAATAGCTTTGAAAACTGTGAAGCAATTTACATAAAGAAGTGGGCCAGCTAGGCAGCATGGTGGTCAAGGCAGCTAGCTGGATCCCACATTGACAACAGGACAACTGTGTAATTTGAGTCCTGGACCTGGTAGCTTGAAAAACATGGCAGGCATGTGTGCATGTGTGCCCCAAACCCCATTCCAAGAGGAGAGTGGAAGAAGAGGAATTGCAGTATGGTCATCCCCATGAGGGGGTGTTTCCTCATTTTCTCTCTTTCTCTCTCTCTCTCTCTCCCTCTCTGTCTCTGGTAAGTGTACATACCCTATAGCAAACTTAACAAATAATGAAATATTATATTAGGTCATCAGGAAAGTCATGATGTATTTTTCTGTTTTCTATGCAAAAACGTATCATCACTTTCCCAACAAGCCCAATAAATTTGATATCATGCCTTTGAAATTTTATAATAATGTGCATTTACAATGTTTTTTTAAGAGATTTTTGCTATAGGGCATGTGTGCTCACCTGAGAGACAGAGAGACAGAAAGTGAGAATTCACCCCCTGGGGGGGATGGCCATGCTGCAATACCTTCTCCTCCATTCTCCTCTCAAGATTTTGGGCACACACACACATGCACCCAGTGTGAGTGTCTGGTCCAGGACTTGAACCATGGTTGACTAAGTTGGAGACCAGAGACATGACCATTATGCCATCTGCTGGTCTCAATTATTTTTTAATTTGGTTATGTAATCCTTAAATGAATGCCTAAAACTTGATACATACTTTAAGATGAAATTAGGATGTGTAGAATAAATTGTTAATCTGGTATCCTAACTTCCTATGAGAGTCAAGCCTACCAACAGCAGCTCAGGTGTCAATTTCAACACTCACTGTACTTAGTGCACAAAAGACTGTGCATAGCAGACTTCTGGTAACATTTGTTGGAATCAACGTTGTTGTCTAAAGGATATTTCAAGAGCATGGATCATCAATGGATGATCACATGACAAGGATCTTCAAATAGTTTAAGGATTGACACAGGTAAAAAAGACCTACTAGACTTTTCTCAGCAGTTTCAGACCTGGCAACAATGTATAAAAGCTGTAGGGTAATATATTTTATCTCAGTTTAAGGGAGGCATTGTTAATAGCTCATTCAGGGAGGGAATCAGCTGCTTTGTGCAGTAATAAGAGATCAAGCCAGGGCTGGACAGGTGTGTGCTTCTATGTCACTAAGGTCTCTAGCTTTCCCTATCAGAATGGGTTGGCTGGATTTATGTTTTCCTTCTGTCCATGGAAAAGAGTATTAGTCATGTATGTCTCTCAGCAGCATCCATGTCATGCCTTACTCTAGATCTGATATTTTCTTGTGTGGGAAGAAACATTGCTGGCACTAGAGTGATAAGGATTCAGCTAGACCATGCATGTACCATGAATTATTCCCACTTCTTTAAACCTTGGCCTCAGGAACTTGTGATAGTCTTGAATTGTGTTAGAGTTGCCCTAATTGCCCCTTCGTTCCTACTCAGTGGCTAATCTATTCACACCTTTCTAAAAGGCCCAGATCTCCATGAAGTGTATCCATGCTCTTACTGAATTAACAGTGTTTATGGTCTCTAGGTGGAACAGTGCTTGAGGATATCCTCAAACCTCTTCATAGCTGCTCCTGGATGATACAGTAATTAAAGTCAAGCAGCTATGGGTTTGAGTCTCAGACCAGCCACTAGCTCTTGGATCATTGGAAAAGTCATAATGTGTTTTTCTTTGTTTTTCTAAGTGTTGTGACTTTTCTGATGACTCAATAGCTCCATGACATTGGGCATGTTATTTAACACTGTGAGCCTCAGTTCCATTATTCACAATATAGGAATTAGAACAGATCTTCCAACACAGAGATGCCTTGCAGAGTAAATGAGATAAATGTGAGAAACTTGGGACCAGCAGATCGTGTGGTGGTTAAGGCACTGGACTCCCACATGGCCGACCACAGTGTTGAGTCCTGGACTTAGAGACTTGAAAATTATGCTGGGCGTGTGTGCATGTGTTCCCAAAAATCTCAAGAGAAGAATGGAGGAGAAGGGATTGTAATGTGGGCATTTCCCCTGGGGGGAAGTGAATTCTCACTTTCCTTCTGTCTCTCTAGAGTGAGTGTATGCACCCTACGGCAAAAAGCAAATAAACAAAAAGAACAGCTTGACACAGTACCAAGCACAAAGGAAATGCTCAGTAACGTTGTTCTATTCCATTGCAATGATTGTTTTCTAAGTTCCCTTGGCTGGTTCTAAAGCTGCGTGCTTTATCTCTGGCAGACATTGATGAATGTGCCTTAAGAACTCACACCTGTTGGAATGATTCTGCCTGCATCAACCTGGCAGGGGGCTTTGACTGCCTCTGTCCTTCCGGCCCCTCCTGCTCCGGTGACTGCCCCCACGAAGGAGGACTAAAGCGCAATGGGCAGGTGTGGACCCTGAAAGAAGACAGATGCTCTGTCTGTTCCTGCAAGGTAAGGCCCAGGAGGTACAGCAGAAGTTGTGACTGTTCCTTCTTCTCCTCCCTCACCTCTCTGCCTCCCCTCATCTTGTTCTCTGGCTGCTGACTCAAGTCTCCTGTAGTTCTTGAAAAGCTTCTCGTGTTCTCGTCCACACCATTAGCTAGTGATGCCGAGTGGCAGGCAAACCTGCTTTCAGTTCATTATGGTTAGTGAAAAGTGAGCTGTGGGGTTAAGAACAGGCTGCAGAGAAGGGGAAGCTGGCAGTGGAGCCCGTGTTCGTCTTCCCACTGATCGCCCACAGTGCCCTTTAGGTTGATCAGGTGAGAGTTTTAATGAGATCTCATCCCACACTTACACAAACTGGCTGATTCAAACTACTCTTTTCCTGTTGTGGTCACCTACATGCACTGGCTCACTTGTGTGGTGACCTCACCCAGAAAAAGCAAGGCTTACAGATTTGCTTCCAGTGGTCAGAGACAGATGGACTTCTATAACAAACAATTGATAATGATAGTTGGAGGTCTCTTAGTAATTGATGCCTTTGTTGTCATTCTCAGTGCTGGGCTGTTTCTTACATTAAGTTGTTTGGAAGTGAACTTAATGCTTATAAAATGAAACTCTGTCATTGTCTGGTTTTGCTTTATGCTTTGCAAAATGGGTCTATTAAAGTGTTTGATTTCCTTGTGCTTTATTTCTTCTTTTGTTGATCTTGCCTATTTATTTTGCTTCGTTATTGCTTTACTGTGGCTCTTGCCTTGTATTTTTATGTCTATTGGGGTGGGACTATTTAATCTTGGACTTTATGAGCATGGGGACCAAGAGAAATTACTTGCTTAGTAGCCTCTTTAAGAGCTGGGTTTCCTGATAAATTTCCAGTGTGCTCCCTAGACACAGAGCCAAAATAAGCCTTAAGAAATCATCCAGGGGTCAGTCTGTGGCATGGTGGTTAAGTTGCTGGATCCTACATAGCCAACTGCATGGTTTGAGTCCAGGACTCAGCAGCTTGAAAAAGACACTGAGCCTGTGTGTGTGTATGTGCGTGCATACCCAAAATCCCAAAAGGAGAAATGGAGAAGAAAGATTTACAGTGTGACCATCCCAACAGGGGATGCTTTTTCACTTTGTCGCTTTCTCACTATTACTCTCTTTAGGTAGCACATATGCCCTCTGGCAAATTTAAAAAGAAAGAAATGATGTAGCTCATCCTCCTCCTTTCAAGTTTTCCATATGTCAGTAAATCTGGGGGCACCTGTTTGTAAGAGCTATATCACCAAGTGTTTAGACCACTACACCATAAAACTCGTTTTCTCTTTTATGTAAACTTACTTCCCCACACACCCAAATTGAAGTTCATTTTTCCCATTTCTTGAGTGCCTGCTATGTTTCAAGCATCTTATAATTTAAGAATAACATTCCATTGAATTCTTATAGCACAATTTTAAAAAATGAAGAAACCAAGTTTCTAAGGGGTCGAGTAACTTTCTTTTTTTTCTTTTCTTTTCTTTTTTTTTTTTTTAAAAAAAAAAAAAGTAAGTTCACAGAAAGTTACTTGACCCCTGGGACCAGCAGTTAGGGTAATGGCTATGTCGCTGGACTCCCACGTAGTCGACCACGGTTCGCGTCCCGGACCGGGTGGCTTAAAACTCACGCCACGCACATGTGCGTGGCGTGAGTTTTAAACCCCCCGGTCCGGGACGGGAACCGTGGTCGACTACGTGGGAGTCCAGCGCCATAGCCATTACACTAACTGCTGGTCCCAGGGGTCAAGTAACTTTCTGTTAACTTACTTTTTTTTTTTTTAAAGAGAATTTTTGCTAGGAACTTACTTTTTTTTTTTTTTAAAGAGAATTTTTGCTAGGGCGCGCATGTGCTTGCCAGAGAGCCAGAGAGGCAGAAAGGGAGAAATCACCCCCCAGAGGGGATGGTCATGTCACAGTCTCTTCTCCTCTATTCTCCTCTTGGGATCTTGGGCATGTATGCACACATGCTTAGCGTGAGTTTTAAGCCACTGGGTCCAAGACTCAAACCATGGTCAACTATGTGGGAGTCCAACAATGTAACCATTATACCATCTATTCGTCCCAGCTTTCTGTAAAAATTAAAGACTTTCATGTCTAAGCTGGGACTTGAGTTCTACTTGCTTATCCCAAATATTTCTCATCTTGCAAAATGTTCTCTAATACTCTACAGAGATTTTCTATTAATATATTTATATCTGTTTAGGAAATCTGTCAGTTTAACATGACTGAGCTGAACTTTCAATTCAGTACTATGTTAGTGATTGGTGGGATGTCGGTAACTATTAAAAATAATACTTAACCATTTGGTGTGAACGCAAAGGGGAAAATTTTTAAGAGAAGGCTAAGTTTATTGTTCAATCAGCAAAATGGGGATGAATTCTTTGCTAGTTCTTTGTAAGAAAGGATTATTCTTCTTGACTTTTGATGATGATTACAATTTGACCCCAAATCCTTTTTAGACTTTCTCAGTCTTCAGTCCTTCATATAGACAAGGGACTTTAGTGGAGTCTTAACTAGTAGAAGACCAAAATTCGTCTTCTAGTTTTTGTTTTCTTTAAGCTCATGATGATGTAGATAAATTATTTTAAATCCAATTATTTTAAATCTCCCAGAGCTTCATTAATTGTCTTAAATTATTGAAGAGTCTAATTTATTTATTCTGTTTTGACTACTAAAGTATCTTCAAATTTTTGTGAGAATTAGACTGAAAATCCCACAGGAGAGAAACAATCCTTATAATTTTATTTTGTTAATATGATGCACCTCCACCATCACCACTCATCTTCTAAATAAAATACTAGGCAAATTTCTTTACATAAATATTTTTATTTTTATTTTTGGTTTGCTTTTCCATTGCATTCATTACCCACGAATAGCATGGTTTCCTAAAGGTCAAGGAGAGGGGATGAGGGCCTGATTTCAGAAGCTGAATTAAGAACCCTAGATAAAATTCTGTAAATTATGCTTATTAAGTGAACTGTTGCAACCCTCTTGGTTTGTTTCCATTATTTTCAGTTGAAAGTATTCTACTCCAATTTTCTAAAAAAGTATCTCTGGACTAAAGCATCTAAATACATGAGTATAATAAATTATCTTGAGGTTAAGAAAAAAGTCAAGGTTGGGGTATAAGGTACTGTCTTTTCAATCATATCTTTGATGTTTCACATTTAAATAAAACCAAATAACACAGTAGCATCATCACACAAAGGAACAAAGGGTCAAGGATTAATGTTGAAAGATGCAAAGTTTCTCTCAAATGTATTGCCCTTGAATGCCAATACATTCGGTGAGCTGCTAGTGTCTCATGGCACTTGAAAAAGAGTTCTTGAAACATGTCAGGTGAGTGGAAATCAATAAAGTGAGGCCAGCACAAATGGATTTGGGCTTTTGTTTAAATTCTATATACTTCCCTGGTAGTGACAATGGTTTTGTCTCCCTTTATACCTCTTAGTTAATTAGGTACTGAAAGACTGCTGAACTGCTTGGAACCCATATTCCTCCAACATCAGCAATACCACAGAAACTCAGTTGAGCAATGGTTCTCTCTCTGAGCTTTATGCCTGAATCTTGGTTATAGCTCAGTTTTTCCCCCATACCCATTTACAGCTCTTCCATTCATAAATTTGCCCAAGGCCTTAGGGAGACATCTTTATTTTTCACCTGTGCTGTATAAGAAGGTAGAGAGGGCATAGGTATATTTGTTTCTAGGAAATGCTGCATTTTAGTACAAATAGTTGTGTTTATGTTGGAGATTGTGGTGATAAAGAGGAAATGGTTATATCGTTGACCACTTGTCACGCTGTGGTAGAGGCATGAACAACTTGCCCTAGGGGAGAAAGGAAAGTACACTCTATTCTAGGAGGATGCAGAGGGAATGGAGGAAGTCTTCATGGCGGATGTGACTTCTGAATAAGACCTTGAAGGATGAGAGACATAGCCAAGTAGAGATGTGGAGGAAAGTGAATCCCAGGCAGAGGGAACCACAAGAGCAAAGGTACAAAGCCTAAGCGTATATGTTGTTGTGGGCTAGACCTGTGGCTCGGTGGTTAAGGGAGTCAGATACTACATGATCAATTGCCTGGTTCAAGTCCCAGTCCTCTTAGCATGTGTATGTGATGCCCCATATCCTGACAGGATGGCGGGATAGAGGAGAAGGGATTGTGGTTTGACTCTACCCAATTGGGCACCTTCTCCCTATTACTCTCCCTTCATCATCTCTCTGTGAGTGCACATACTCTATAACCAACAACAAAAAAAGAAAGAAAAAGAAACACAGTTATTTTAGAACTATAAAGTAAATGATGAAATTAGAATATCAGGAGCAAGACATAGTCAGCGATGAGGCTGGAGATAGAGCCAGGCCACGGAATTTTGACTTCATCCTTTGGCCAGCAAAAGGATCATGAGAGATTTTTGCCTTGGGGATTGGCATAGCCCAATCAGGATCTGGTTGGCAGCATGATGGATAGCCTCAGAAGATGGTTGCTAAAGAAAGAAACCACTCAGGCTGAGATAAAGACTTACGAGAGTAAGGATGAGAGGAAAAGCTTGATCACGTGAGAGAAAATCCAGAAATAAAATGATGGGGTTCTATTGACTGATAGTGCCAGAGACCGAGCCCCTGTGACAATGCCTTTCCTATCCTGGAGACATAAAAGATGTTCCAGAGTGGGAGATTTGAGATGTAGCTGCTCATTTTCCTGGGTGAAAAGAATCCTGGAAAGGGAAGGTGGCCTGATGAAAGGAAAAAGGAAGGGCTTGCATGTTGCACTTGGATGCACTGGACATTGGCTGCAAGCACACCTACTCCTACATAAACACTGATGCCAACACCTACTACTGCTGTCGTCAGTAACTGGGAAATCTAGTGGGAAGAAGAGAACAGATTCTGGAGGCCAGACTTGATTTTGATGCTTTCATACAGTTAAAAACAGAAGTGAGTAGTGTTCATTCTGAAACTCAAATAGTACTAAAGACAAACAATGCCAAGGA